ATTCCGGAGTTGATCACTGGCAGTGGTAAATGATTTCTTCTGCCTCTATTCTATTCAGCAATTAATTAAAATATCTCAGTACTGATAAGCATTTCACAGAATAAATATTTTGATCTCATTTTGCCTGGCTTGAAATTAAAGAGTAGAGGAAAATATATTAGCTTTGGAGAAAACAAACGTGAATTTGGAGCCCTTCTTTGTCACTTTGCTGAGTCCCCGAATCTCTCATTTGTTAAAAGAAGAGAATACAACCCACCTCCTACCTGGGTAAGGACCAAGTGGGAGACACCCTCACTCTCCTACTGTTGTGACGGTTCCAGCTCACCCTGAATCATGAGAGTCAGTAGTTAAATTTTCAGAAAGTTCTGAGCTGGTTGTTTAAACATGGCCCTTATCAAAAGTTAAATTGTATAAACGTATAATTAAAGACATTTAAAAAGTAAATACTCAAAGCTCATCCTGTCTTAATTATTAATATTAGTACTTTACAATTGTCTATATTCTTGTGGCTATTTATGTCTATTGTACCTGCCTGGTAGAAATACTATTTAATGATATGCCACTGTATATCTCTCCCCAGCTTTGTGTTAGGTGACATTATATTGGTAGTTAAAAATTGGCCATGATGAGAATATTTACACCAGGAGAATGAACAAAATCTACAAATCAAGACCTGATTTCTCATATTGTTTTATCTAAGGCAGGGCATCTTGGAGTGGGCATTGTTGATATGGAGGCTGGATAGAGTTCTTGGTTGTAGAAAGATGCCCTATGTGCTGTCAGATGTTTGACAGCATCCCTCGTCTCTACTTACTAATGGTGACACTCACAACCATCTCCAGATACAGCCAAATATTCCCAGGGGGCAAAACTGGCCCCTTCTGTTTATTAACAGTCCCTGGAGAAAGGGGTTGGCAAATTAAGATTGGGGAGGCACAATATGGCCTGCAAGCTAAGAAGAGGTTTTACATTTTTAAATGTTTGTAAAATATAGCAGAGACTAATTATGGCCCGCAAAACTTAAACTATTTTTTGGTCCTATAGAGAAAAGCTCATTGACCCTTCATCAAAATGATGGAGAAACTGCTCATCATGTAGCCTAAACGTGAAAGCATGTATGTTTGTAGCTGTTACATCATGAAGAGCACATATAAAACCCGAACGAATGGTTTTCCAGTATGTGAAAACTATTATTTGATTCAGCAAAGAATTTGATTATGCAAAAAAGCAGTCACATCACTCATGAATGAGCAAATTTCCATCATACATAGTGTTGAAGTTGAAAGAGGGTTCCTTTTATGGCTTGGGGCCTGTGGCTCAAGCGGCTAAGGCACCAGCCACATACACCTGAGCTGGTGGGTTCAAATCCAGCCCTTGCCTGCCAAACAACAATGGCTGCAACAAAAAATAGCTGGGCGTGATGGCAGGCTCCTGTAGTCCCAGCTACTCAGGAGGCGGAAGCAGGAGAATTGCTTGAGCCCAGGAGTTGGAGGTTGCTGTGAGCTGTGATGCTACAGCACTCTACCCAGGACAATAGCTTGAGGCTCTGTCTCAAAAAAAAAAAAAGGAAAGAAAAAAAGAAAGAGGGTTCCTTTTAATGAAAGCAATTTGTGCAAGAGTAATATTTTAAAACAGTAGATCACTTATAAAATGTCATAACAATAACTACGTTGGGAGAAGAATTAGTGGTCTAGGATGCAATTCCATTTGTCAAACCAAGGCTGCAAATTCAAGAATTCATCAAAACGTGATGAAAACATTCTCAATTGACTACACAGAATTGATAGTATACAAAAATTGTATATTTTATGACTTTATAAAATATGTGTCATATCTATTATATTAGTAAAATTTAAAATAAGTGTTATATGTGTATGTGTCTATATGGATATACACACCTCTCACGACTGCCCCCACCTCCAATCCCACCCCTATTCCTCTGTTCCTCCTCTTTCTCTTTACTTCCCGGGATTCTCCAAGCTACTCCTGCCCCAGGCCTTTTCTGCTACCCTTCCCATTCTCTGAAATGCTCCCTTTTCACTCCTGACACATCTAAGATCTTGCCATCTTGGTGAAAACATCACTTTCTTAGGAAAAGTCTTCCTTGACCCCTGCGACACATTGGGTTCCCTGATAAATGTCATCACAGCACTGTGTATTTCTCATTCATGACATACTGTCACAAGAGAAATTAGAAAGTTATCTGTATGATTTTTATTAATCATTTGTATCCTACATGAAGCTATAAGTTGCATGAAAGAAGGGACCACTAACATTAAAATTAATCCTAAGAATAGAGAGGGAGCACATTTTCTGTCTTGTGAGGATTAATGCAGAGTATTTTTATGCTACCGTGGACTTAAATGTTAGTAACTCTTCATGTGATTTCCTTTATTATTATTATCATCGTTATTATTTTGAGTATTTCGAGTATTATTCTGAGTGTCTCCCCCCTTCATTGGATGGTGAGCTTCCAGAGGTCAGGCTCTGGGGCTCTCCTACTCATCATGGACACAATACCTGGGGCGTCCATTAACAGGGCCATGGCGGTAAACAAGGCAGATGTCTTCTGTTTATGGCCCGTATGATGAGACAGGTAGTAAACAAGTCGATCGTGCCAAGGGGCGCCAAGTGCTAGGAGGAAAGATGGAGGAAGGGAAGAATGAGAAGAGAGGTCTGGGACTGAGGAGGGAAATGTCATTTTATTTGGTGTGTGTGCAGGTCTCTCTGATAAGATGAGTAGACATCTGTGGGGAGCAATTGAAGGCCTCCAGGCACAAAGCACAGCAAGCCTAGAAAGGGGGGGAGTGTGCTTTGTGGGTTCAGGGAATAGCACTGGAAGGGGTAGAGGAGGTTAGAGAGATGGCTGGACAGGGTGGGGTTGGGAGGCCGTGTAGGTTACCCGGTCACTGTAAGAAGTTCAGCCATTACTCTGAGGGAGACAAAAGCCATTGGGGGGTTTGGAGCAAAGGAATGACATGATCTTTTCAGTCTAGTAGGATCCCACAAACCACAGGTGAGAAAGCCGGCTTGGATAGAGTGATGGTGGAGGAAGTCATGGGAAGGTAGCGGATACATATAGAGTAAAATTTAAGGATTTTCAAATGGATTGATTGTGTGATGTGAATAGAAGATGAATACTTGTTTAAATGTTTGGAAAGCCCATTATGTAACGCCCAGCACTCCCTTGTACACCATCAGAAATCCAGAAGGATGGGAAACACTCAGGGACTAGCTAGTCTTGCTGGGAGGAGATGACTGTTAGTGTGAAATGCCCAGGAAAATAATACATGGAGTTTTCCGTGTATCAGGTACCCTCCAAGTACCACCACTTCATTCAATAATTCATTTAATCCTTACAGTAACTCCATGAAATAATTGTACAGTAATTGTATCTCCATCTTACAGATGAGGAAACTGAGACATAAAGATACTAAGTAAAAGCTTCAGGTCATGGCTACATAGGTTATAACTGGCACAGCTGGGATTAGAACCTAGGTGGTCCGGTTCCAGAGTCTGTGTCTTCAGTTATCCCTCTTCCTGTGACGAAGGGTCCGGGCGTGCCCTGTACTACATCCGGAGCCACAGAGGTAGGGAGTATGAGCCTATGGGACCCACATGTGCTGTTTAATAAGAGAAGCTATACGTATCGTAACATTTGTAACAGATGTGAGTGTTGGCCTTCCACTAGCTGCCAGATACACGTGTGTGTGCGGCCATGCTACTTTGGAAAATTCTCCATTTTTCAGCTCACCCACCGACTGAATTAACAAATAGTTATGCAATGCGTTCTCAGTGAGAGGTACTTTGCTAAGCCAAGGGAGGGACACAAAGGCAAGTCTGCAATGCTGCCTTCCTCCAGAAAGTTTGTTCTTATTAAAGAGATAAGATAGGTAGACTTAAACTAGAATAGATAAGGGCAGAGGAGTTAAGGGACAGCAAGGTAACTGAAAAGAGAGGGTCAGGGAAGGCTTATGGGCAGATGGGGAATGGGGCTGAACCTGGCTTCTGTTCTGTGTGTGGATGGAGAAGAGGGAGATTCAGTCAAAGGAAAGGTTGTGCAAAGGCCTGCAGAAAGGAAGGTTGGGTACAGGTGGGCCGAGGTTGGGGTCTCTGAAGAAGCAGGATGTGAGAAAATTCTAGAAAGATAGATTAGGGCTAGATCATCAGGGGCAGTGGGGTTCTAATCATCACGCAGTTTATGTTTATTCTTTAGGTAAGGAGAACCCTTTGGGATTTTTGATTAGGAGGGCACCCAGCCTCTGGGTAAATAGCAAGCTGACACTCAACCAGGGCTTGTTCAACTCAGAAAGAAGAGACATAATAATATCCCAAATCTATTGATTGCTTGGCACTTTTTAAAACCTTTTAACTACTCACATAATTGTCACCATAGCCCATGAGACAATTTCCTTGTGTCCACTCTATGGATGAGAAAACTGAGACTCAGGGACATTAAAGTCTTGCTCAAGGTGGTGACTAAAGAGTGGGCATCTGACCAGAGCTGTCCAATTGCTGTCCAACTAGGAAAACAGAAGAAGAAGAGAGAAATGGGTTATGATATCAATGCTGTTCTTAAGAAAGGACGTGGTAGTGGGCCCACATCAGCAGAGGACAGAGTCGTTCAGAAGTCAGAGCGTCCGCAGGCAGAATCAATAGGAATCTGTCATTACTGGAGATGGGAAGCTGGGCAGAGGGGAGGGGGGAAGGCTCAGAGCTCAGAGCTTCAGTTCCTGGGAAGTAAGGGCGCTATTAGAGATTGGAAAGAGACGGAAGGATGGCCACAGTTCAGTTTTAGTTGATGTGAATAGAAATATGGGCACCCAGGAGCCTACAGCCCAGCTGAAGGAGTACTGTCTGCAGAAGGCAAGATGCAGGGCTCCGGGGCTCTGCGGGCTTGTCCTGGGAATCACGAGGCTCTCCCAAGGTTCCTTTCTGTGTTTATATCATTTAGCAGGGGAGGACTGTTAATGACTAATCTGTGTCCGTGAGGCACACAGCCAAGGCAGAGATGCTGCTTCTGGGCCGGAAGGCCGCCTGTGATTACCCACCGCTGTCGCTAGACCTCTGTCCTCCTCCTCAACCCCACTGCACATGTGAGAATTTGTAGCAAAATTGCTGGGCTTTGGAGAGGAGAGCGGGGCTAAGAATCCTCCTGGGGCCTTGAAAGTTCATCTTTGACCCCAAACAATCCAAGTAAGTACCTAATTCCTTTGGGAGTGGGGCGTCTACTTCGTGGCAACAGAGCCAAAGGTTTCTCTTTGACATCAGTGATTTCTGTCAATCAATGAACTTGAAGTTAGTAGTGTTTGATGTAAAATCCTGAAAATTAAAAGAAGAAAAGAAAGAAAACGAAAGAAATTCTAAACTCAAATAGAAGTCAATGGCTCTAACAGATGCTTACCTTGTGAAAAAATTATTTAGGAAGAAATAATTTTGAATAATATTTGACATTGAGTTCACCCAAGGAGAATTGTAGGAGACAGTAAATTTCAGAAATATTTCTGTTCTTATCCTATAGACAATTTGATCTGCATAAGGTACTATGTTCTGGTGAGTTATCAAATACTGATGTGAGTGTGGGAGGATTGGTAATGTCAGATGACTTGAGAGTTAGGACTAGGGTATTTACGCTACGCTTAAGTGAAAATTTTCCCTAGGAGAAGAGTAGGTTTAGAAAGCTTTCTCTTTTGACTTCAATTATAAATTCTTCTACTGCTTTTCATTCCTAATATGAATATATAGCCAAGTGGAAATATCAGATGAAAATATTTTTGAAAGTTGGAACATGTGAGGAAGAACCTTATTGTTAAAATTAGTACCTTGGTCTTTTTTTCAGATCTCATAAATCTTTTGCCTTTTAAAATTGTCCAAGGACTGGATCTACAGATAAGCTATCTCCTCGTCACCTTCTGACACAGTGAATTAGGCAACTGCAGAGACTGAATTGTTTCTCTTAATTGGGTTTTTATTTAGAAGGAAGAGGAAGGGGAGGATGACAAATGACTCACCTTGGAGTCTGTGTCTGAGAAAGGCACACCTGAGATTTGAACTTGAAAAACGTCTGATGTTGTTTCTGGTGCTGTCTTAGAATCACTTAGCCAGTATTAATAAGAGAGTTAGGGATACAAAAATAATATTAATAATAAAAAGGAAGGTGGGAGGAAACTTTTGGAGGTGATAGGTTAATGATGTTGATTGTGGCGATGGTTTCAGAGTTGTATGCAATCCCCCAACTCGTCAAGCTATATACATGAAATATGTATGTGAAGCATTTTGTGTGTCAGCCAGACTTCAACTAAGGGGTTTAAATATTTGTGTGTATGTGTATGAGTGTGTGTGCACGTGTGTTGCCTCTTGCTAAAGAGAAGAAGAGTGTAGGGAAAGATATTTGGGAAGCTACCACTGTTTCTAGCTATGATTTTATAAAATGATAGCCACTTTCTTTTCTGTGTAACCTCTCCCCCCAATTCTCCAAATTATAAACCTGTGCCATTTGCACTGTGGACTTTTCTGTTTTCTGAGAATGTTGCAACAGGCCTGATGCAACGCCTAGCTAACTGATGGGGGACTGACCAGCCAGCAAGCTCTGTCGTCCTGAGCCCCTTCCTCAGTATCTGCACCGCTGTTCCTTAGGAACCTCTGCCCTCTCCCCCACTTGGAGAGGAAAGCAACGTAACCCTTGTCCTCACTCTTGTTTCCACATTTCAAAGATCAGGCCCTGTTGTCATGGGATCCCCAGTGGTTGTGAGGCCCTGAGAGCACTGAGAGGAAAAGACGTGTGTGAGGGTGTGTGAGAGACTGTGTGGGGGTGTGATGATGTGTGTGTGTGACTGTGTGGGTGTGTGTGAGGGTGTGCGAGAGACTCTGTGGGTGTGTGATGATGTGTGTGTGTGTGTATGTGTGAGGGTGTGTGTGTGACTGTGTGGGTTTGTGTGATGGTGTGTGTGAGACTGTGTGGGTGTGTGTGAGGGTGTGTGAGAGACTGTGTGAGTGTGTGATTATGTGTGTGTGACTGTGTGGGTGTGTGTGAGGGTGTGCGAGAGACTCTGTGGGTGTGTGATGATGTGTGTGTGTGTGTGTGTGAGGGTGTGTGTGTGACTGTGTGGGTTTGTGTGATGGTGTGTGTGAGACTGTGTGGGTGTGTGAGAGACTGTGTGGGTGTGTGATGATGTGTGTGTGACTGTGTGGGTGTGTGTGAGGGTGTGTGAGAGATTGTGTGGGTGTGTGATGGTGTGTGTGTGAGTGTCTGTACGTGTGAGGGTGTGTGTGAGGGGGTGTGATGATGTGTGTGTGACTGTGTGGGTGTGTGTGAGGGTGTGTGAGAGACTGTGTGGGTGTGTGATGATGTGTGTGTGTCTGTAT